ATAATAATAATAATAATAATAATAATAATAATAATAATAATAATAATTATAATAATAATATTTATATTAATGATGATGATAAAAATAATAACGAAAATAATGAAAAATCTTAATCGGTGACAGGGGATGCATGGTGTTGAGTGGTGGGTGGGGGAGGTGAGCGTTTATCGGGAATAATAGGGTCTGGGACAGTGGCTAGTGTAGTAAGTAGGAGCGGTGGAGGGAATGGGTCGGAGGAGAAAAGTGTAAAAAAAAAAATAATAATAATAAAAGAAAACCTTGACCTGGACCACCGCAGGCTAGCCGGTACAATACGAGTGGTGCTCACGGGCAGCCGCACTCGTCGATGACCATTTTGGGCAGGTCCCGTTTGATGATGTTGCCGTCGTCGGTGAAGTAGATGAGCGACATGGACGAGAACTTGACGGGCGCGCAGCACGGCTGAAATATGGACGAGTGCTTGGCCTTCCGGTAGTCCTCGATCGCCTGCGTGTTCAAGTTGAGGTACGTGTCCGGTGTCCTGTGCACACCGCCGCAGTCGCCGCGGCAATAGTTGGCGTAGTAGCCGCCAGGCGCGATTATCCACGAGTCCCATCCGATCTCCTGGAACTTGATGTAGAACCGCTGCTTGCAGCACTGGCCGCGCATGGCCAGCGAGCAGTCGAGCGCGCGGCGGCGTACGCGTCTCGTCACCGTCGGGTCCGTGTACACCATCAGGAACGGGTTCTCCCACTCGTTCACCTGCCGGGTGTCGTGGAACAGCACGGGCGACACCAGGCCGCCGCAACCGGAACAGTCGATGTGGAACCGCAGCCGGTGCTTGCCGCTGGAGCCGTACCACTCGCGCACCGTGTTCGTCACGTCCACCGATATCCAGCCGAGGTTGTTCAGCGACAGCGACAGCGACGAAGCCAGCGTGGCGTGCTCGTCGAACTCCTAAACACGCGCGCATGCACACGATCAATCGGCCGTCCGGAGAACGCGTAAGCCCGCGACACGATGTTGCGCATCGTTCCGTACAGTCGGTTCGGCGAGTGGGTAGCGCCGCCGCCACCACCACCACTGCCACCGCCACCGCCGCCGCCGCCGCTGCCGCCGCCGTCACCGCAACAACAACCCTCCCGTTATTTCCGATCGTTTTTTTTTTTTTTTGCTACGATACGCGCTACACCATCGCTGAACCGACTGTACGCACATCGTTTGTGAACACCTAAAACCGTTGAGACCAACAACGAGCGATTATCAACAACCACTGTCGAACCACGCTGCACACGCCATTGGTTAATGGTTACTCGCGGTTGCGATATTGCGTCGGACGGTGGCGCGGTAACAGCCACCGTCCGCGAACGGGTCAGGGGAATCTTTTTGGCAGAAACGAGCGAACGTTTTTTTTTTCTAAAAAACAAAAATCAAATACGTTGCTTTCGACCAGCCGCATTGTGTTTACGGTTAGGAACGTGCCCGATCGCACGGAAGTCAACCGGAACGCGTCGATAACCGTTCCGATAGGACGTGGCAGGTGGCTATTAACGCGGTATAGCCGAACGGGTACATTATGCTCGGGTAACGGTGTTGACGCGTAGTGCCCTGAAGCACCGTGGTTTCCAATATTTTTTTATGAACAAGGGAAAATGGTTTGCCACCCCAATAATGCCCAAAATGTATTCAATTTCAGGGAACCCACGCACGTTTTTTAATTTCAAATATTGTTAGTGTCAACAGGATACCTGTAGCCCGAACGTAAACGATAATAAATATTCTTCTCTCCACGATTTCCGTAACGATAACGTATGTGTTCGAATTCGAACATAAGTAAACATAATTTTTTCCATATGAAACAATATAAAAAACGTTTCTTGATGTTTTCATAAACCTTGTAGAACCTTTGGGATTGTTACTCGGTAGCCTTGGATTCATCGGAATCGATTTTGGAAACTTCTGACCTCAAAGGTCACATCTGATTGCATGCCAAATAGGTGTAGGTTCTCGACTCCTGTCCTCAGATCTTTATAGTTGAATAACGAAAAATAATTGTTCGAAAAGGAAGAAATCGTAACCTAGCGTTATATCCATAATATGTTGGTACATTAACTGATGGTGTAATACGTGTTTTTCTTGGTTCGGGTCCATGGATACTAAATAAATGGATAAATTAGGTACTCTTATGTTTGCATGGCATTACGGTTGAAAAATATAAAAGAACATTAGAGAAAAAGACGATCGGCATACTCGAATGGGTTTTTTTCTTGCAAAGGGTGTAAAATTGTATCCGAATTCATTAATAGATGGCACGTGTATAGTGTATAGTTCATATGGTAGATTTACGTGGTGTTTCTGTTCGACAGAATCTGTGCACATGCATGTCGAAATCCCATAAAATGTTTCAATTGAACGAAAAATAATATACGGAAACAAATTGTAGATTATTTGGTAAATAAACGAAAGTGTTATACGTATTTAATACAATTTATAGATTTTTGTTCTCGTCATGATATTTAATATTTAGTTTATAGTTTTGAACTTTTTTTGAATTACTGGGTTTAATTATGTATCATAAAACACAGCTTGACTGTGCTGAACATAGTCAATTATTTAATACGATATTTAATTTGGTGTTTAAGAGTAACTTAGCTCATGGAAAATACTTAATCTAATCAGTCATATCTGACTTATATGCTTTGTCTAAATTAATACATATGAGGTTTATGCAGGTAGTTTGAATATATTTTATAAATATATTTATTTTAATAGTAATCATGTACTCAAATCGTTATCGGTACGGACCTGCAATTGAAAGAAACTTTGAGAAATGTATGGAAGCTATAAATGATGTAGCTGAGAGTAAATCTATCTACTACACAAATAGCTCAAGTGTACTATCATGCATTGCACATTGGAAACGGCAAACCCGAAAGATCATATCGATCAATAACAATGTACCTATGCATATATTAAATATTTAATGATTTAATTATTTGCGTATTTTATAAAGTGGTGACATTGGACAACGATATTATAAAAAAATCGAAACGTAGTCCAAAAATATTGCTGGAAAAAAGGTTTTGAGCAAAGTGGACATTTACACATAAAGTAATCCAACTCATATGCACAAATAAAACCAAAAAAAGAAAAAATAATGTAAAGAATAAAATATATTAATTGTTACATCCATTTTCATGTTTAGTGATCAGAATTCCTTTTATCATGTCCAACAATGTTCTTATAGTTAATATACTAACTATTTACGTGATAGTCAATAACACGTATAATGCAGATGTGTGTGCTATAATAGATCGAATAATTTTTATAATTTTATTATTCAGTGAGTGCAAGTTTAATGTAAATAATTTTGCTGTACAATTTTCTTAAACATAACATATAGGGAAAAAACGTCGTTGATCAACCGTAAAAGACTAAAGCAGTTCGTAATTATGAAGATATGAAGATATTATATAGAAAGAAAAATATTTATATTTTTTGAATTTCCTTATTAGCTATTGTCTGATAACTTTCTTATGTATATGTATAGCTTTCCCACGAATTTCGTTAAGATATATATGAAAAGGTACGAAAATTGATGAACGAAATAAGTACACTAGTATAAAAGGAAGTTAACAGAAAAAGGAGGAATGATTAACTATATTTATATACATATACGTAATTTAACAAAATAAAATTCCTCTTCACGTTGCGATTATTAATTAATGAAAATAACTCTTGGCTATTCAATCTCAGCCATGGTTAAAATTTCAATTGAATAATTAAAATAACATTACATATATAATATTAATTTAATGAAAACACTGAAAAGAAAAAATATCTTAAAACATTAGTGTACAGAAAGTTTTTTCATAACTGTATTTTTTCTAGTTTTAATTTTTATTTTTTTAATAATCAAGACATTTTTGTTAGAATTGTCATTATTTTACATACAGTTATGAATAAGAAACTTGTTTAAAATGAAAACCAACCATATATACACAGGTATATAATTCAGCGTTTTCTTTGAATTACGTTTTTTATATGATCTTGGATCTAAACATAATGCCTCGTATAATATAGTTTTCTACTTAATAATATTTTTACTTAACGTTTCCAATATGCATTCTGTACACCTGTATTTGTGTAAAATTACGTATTCATTTTTATTGTTTTAGGAAACATTATATTACGAACATGTCCCCAACCCCACCTAATCGAAATACTGATATTTTTTTCAAGTTAACATTTAGCAGTCAATTAGCAACAATTTGCAAGACTTTAGTTTAGTCATATAACAAAAAAAAACCAAGGGTAGGGCTAGATATACATGTCCCTAGCCCCACCTATATCATCGAAAACATATTTTAAAATATTTCTTTCATCATCATTTAGCAGCCAATTAGCAACGATTAGCAAGGCAGCTGTAGCGATTTGCTAAGCAATATTTCGTCATATATGACACATTAAGTATCAATCCAATAATATACGACGTCAATAAATAATAATTATGATTATAAAAAGTATATTACTAAAGTAAGACATATTTAGATTAAGAAATTAAATATGATTAATAATACTTTACAACATAAAAAAATAAGATTGCGTGAATAACATAATAGTTTATCGAATCTAAATTGAATTACAGATAGACCACTGTTTAAAACATTTATTACCTATGAAAAACAATGGGAAATAAAAAAAATTAACAATATAAATATTATTTAACAAGGTATTAAATTTTGAATAAAAATAAATAAAAGGTAATGAGTGGTAATTATGGAACGTAAAATTAAGTATCTTGAAAAACATAGTTCCGATCATCTCTGCTTTGGGATGTAATTTTAAAATATAGTGACTCTAGTACAGTTATGAAGTATTTATAGTCTGTATCAGGTAAAAATATTTAAAATATAAAAATATAATTATAAGTTGCCGAATGAAAATTCTTATTAATAGAAGAATCTTATACGCCTATTGTCGTAATTTCTTGCTTTATATGAATTAAATTTTATGAAGATTCAAAATTTCCAGTAAATTTACCAACTATATCAAATTGATTTTTTCAAAAAGTTGAAATTTGCATTATTTAGGTACGAGGGGAAGGGGTCTGGAGACGTGTAAATTTCGGAAACATTTTTTACGGATGAAATATTGGTTTACAAATCTCTGCCTTGCTTATCGTTGCTCATTGGCTACTAAATTTTGACTTGAAAAAAATGTCAATATTTTTATTAGATGGGATGGGGATATTTTCGTCATTACATTGGTCTTTTAGCGATCGTACTAAATTGTATAGCAAAAGATTTATTAATAGTTATTACACTTTATCGGTTCATTTGGGGTTGGACTAGGTTTTAGTGACTTATTTGAAACATTTCCAAATACAGTAAATTATATATTCATTGGATAATGTGATATTTATATACAACAATGATCGATTGCGGATGTTCGTGGTAATCGATCATTGTTCAAGAACGATTATAGTCTTTAATAGTATGATATAATATACAGACAGATTATAAACACTCCATGTCTATATTATTATGGTCGTCTCAAAATAGTTGTAATATTTCAACTTCGAAATAATTTACTATGTGCCACTAAGGATTTGCTAAATTATATTATTATAGAACTTAAATAGAAAATGATTAAAAATATAATAATGTGTGTTTGGAAACTTTAATAACAAAAAAATATTTTGTATTCAAAATATTTAGTTCGATAAATAGAATTGAAAATAAATATTTGCGTTTCACTTAGTATTTACTATTTAATTTTTTTCAATTGTTATAGATCAGAATCTAGTCATGACGAAAAATATAAACATTCTATCAATTTAGTATATAACTACTTTAATAAATTATATTTATTTATTATAGATATCATCAATATGTTTTGTAAATAATCTTTATTTTTAATTGAGTATACGTTATAAAATACTGTATTAATCTTTATTAATTTTTACTAGTAAACAAAGAAAAGTATATAGATTTTTATTTAGTATAGAAAATATTTAGAAATTAAATCAACTGTATTTAATTCATTAAAATGTATTTTTTTTTTACTTTAAGTGTATTCAAAGCTTATCAGCAACAATGTGTACAACAATTTTTTTATCCACATAATTAGACTAGATACAATTTTTGTTAGTCGGTGGCTAAAAATTAAAATAATGTTTCCAACAATAATGAAAAAAAGAGAGTTTTTAATTATAATTTATCAAAGTTTTCGAATAGAAATAAAATACAAATTACATTTGTATAATATTTTATAGTACTCCAGGGTTATACTAATAATAATAAACATTAAGTATTATTATTTTTTTTTTTTGCGAAACATACCTTACCACTTAGGAACGTGGTATTCCGCATTTGGTTGGTGCGGAAGTTTATTTTGAATAGCCACAGAGTTACATTGTGACTGTGATGGGTCCTTCGTGCGACCGGAGGAACGTCCGGTCTATATTCTAACCTAAACCACAGCTTAGCAGACTTGACTTTTACTGAATCAGTGCTTCCCATATCTTGTGACCATGGGAATTCTAACAACGTTTGACCGTTCAACGTTGATCCTGGAACAAAATTAAAATTTTGTAAAATTGTGTGTGATTTCTGTCGAAAGTAAAAGAATTGTAGTTAAATTTTTACCATGCAATAAGATAATTGTTATTATGCATTACACCAAAACATGTAATTATTTTACATTCAAATTTTGCGGGGTTTCACAATCACAAAACTTAATAAAATTGTTTTCGAATCTTTCTCAAACACTCATCCGAAAATATGTTTTGTATCTGTTCTAGTAATGCTAAATGACTATGAATTTCGCCATGACTTTTGGTACCGGTAGTAAATGAACGAGAAATCCAGACAAGAAAATTAGTGGCGGTTACGTGACTGTATTGGAAAAATGGTAGTAAAACAATATCATTGACTATAAAATATTATGTAGGTGAAAAATGTAATGTAAAAAAAAAAATGTGTTGTTATGCTACAGTAATATGATATTCAAACGTGAAATTATAGCGAAATAATATTGTGTTTGTGTGGATGGAAAAATTGAATTTAGAACACCTTTTAATACACTATATTTATTTTATGTACCTACCGGAAGTATGAAAAAAAAAAAGAAAAAAGGATAGGGTAGTTTTATAGAAAACCTTACTAAAGAAAGTCTTCATTGAGTTTATTACTGTTGAACACGAAATACAAAAACATAATACATTTGTATTAATTGTAATATAAAATTCCAAGCAAGTTATATAAATTACATTTACAGACCTCAGGCATCATGCCAAGTATGTCTTACAGTTTTTTAGTACTGTAGCAAGTAAGTTCAATAGAACTTTGTTCTTGTTTCTGTTAAAACATATCATTTTATGTATTTTTCGATGTTATTTATAGTTTTAAATTATCCTTGTCTTGTATAATTTTTACCAAAATAATTTTACCGCTATACATTTTTAAATTTTTTACTTTTTAAATCACATTACTGCTTTGCAGAAATCTGCAGTAGGTTGGATTAGGTTTCAATGTTACAAACGTTACTTATTCGAAAGAATGATAAAACACTATAGCCAAAACTTTATGGATTGCAATGAAACATTTTAAAATTAAATGTAAAAATTTATTTTCTCCGTCCACGCATGTGGATATAATATAAATAAAGTTTTGTTATGTTTAAATTGAAATACAATCAAATTCTCGGTTTTAAACAGAAAGTTCTCTAGTAAAATTCACGATATTTCGAAGAATCCGTATTCGTATTATTTTTTTATAGCCTTTTCTCGGAAACTCGTTTACTTCAGTTTTAGTACTAGAAAAATAAATGTTTTGGATATTATTATTTCGCGAAAATTTTTATAGCGGAGGCTATTTTTTCTTTTACCAATAAAGATTAACCGTTACGAAGTCTGTAAGGTGTGTGATTTAAAGCTTGAATATCATAGTATTACAAAATTAAATCATTCAATTCACTTTCACGTCCGACGAATGTTGGGAGAACATTTTAAATATATATTTTTTAATAGATTTTAACATGGAAGCGTACATCACATTTTTTATGACACCTTCACAAAAAAACATATGATTAATTCTTTTCCAAAATATTTCTGAAAAAAATTCTGTCTTTAAGTATACCTTTAAAGGAGATATTTGTCAGAGATTTTAAATGTTTATGTTATAAGTGCTGAATTTATACATTCAATTTTAAATGTTAAGGTTTAAAAATAATTTTGAAAATTTATCAATAGTAAATAGACCTTGTTATTTAAAAATAATACTCATGCATTTCTTTTGAAGATCCTCATAAAACTGTCAATATCTCATGCCATAGCTCAATCTTCAGAAAATTCGACTTTGTCGTATTGCGTAATATTATGTGTTGAAAGAGCTCTGCGCTTAACTTAGTGATTTATAGAGTGCAACTTTTGTGGACATTTGTTTTTTCTATTGATCTAAAAAGAAGCTATGTCAGCTATAAATTTGATTTATGCTATGTAAAATAAAATAATCAAATTTTTTTTTTAAAAAAGTTTCATAGAGTGACAAAATCCTAACTCTATAGTATTGTATATTAAGTTAGAATTATTTGTAAATAGAAACATAGACATGTATATCATGTGTATCATTCATTTTTGAGATGATTATTGATTTTCTTTTACATAACACATAAGAAGTTAAAATTCATTATTTAAAAAAACTTTTATTATAATGATAAACAAAAATATTATTAATAGCTAACACAATATTGACGGGTTATTTGACAAAAACCTCAAGTCGCAAATCCCCAATTATTTATTAATCATAGAGAATAAAAGTATATTTAATTAGTTTGAAATTGGTTAGAATGATGCTTAAGTTTACGATATATATAGAATAGAGCCAAGTAGAATACATCATCCATGTTAGCTGTATAATGTATTTTAAATTATACTTCGAATGAGTATATTCGATAAGTTGATTGGTACATTATCACGAGTTTTATACCGAAAATCGTTGGTACACTTTACGTTAGGGAATTATGCGTGTTTTAATCGATTATGCACTTGAATTCACATATACATTCAATAAGTACATTATGCTACATACATATGTGCATTGTGATGCGTTTTCTAGATGCCTGCGCTGTAAGTATTACCATCCGTACCAGTCGTCCATCAGAGACGTTTTCTCTTCCTCTTCACCGCACCATGTTCAATATCGTAATTCAACCAAATGAAATAACATCCTGTTTTAACACAGTTTGCATTGGAGTATTTGTCCCCTTGTCTAGACGTTGCCTTACTAATGGCTTGGCAATGTTAGTTTTAATGTTCGTTTTAAATAGGTCCGGGACGTTTAAAGTAAACAGCAGCAACGCGATCTTTATAAATATCGTAAATAGTACTGTGCATCTGTGCAATTATTATTCTGTTTTCGATAGGACATCAGAATATTTTTTCTACCCTCTCCCGAGAGACATGAACATAAAGTCGTAATTTATTTAAATCGAATACAAATCCAATGAATCTAAAGCGATTAGGTTTTCATGATTACGATAAAACGAACACGACTAGATTATACATTGGATTAATTAAATATTTACAAAACACGATTTATTATATTAACTATTTTAATAATAGGAGTTTTAAGCGATAACCGCTTTAATAGGGAGTTTTTAAAAGGTATAACTAATAATTTGTATAAAAAAAAATTCAACTAACAATTTTGATAATTAATATGAAAAACAGAAGAAAAAAATATAATATAAAGTATTTTATAACAATATACATTATTAAAAAATTAGACTTCCACAAACTGCAGCGAGATTTTATTTTTCATTTCGAAACACTATAATTTCTAAATAATTTATGTTTAATATATTTTTTCAGTACGTAGTGAAAAGTTTAATTTATGTTCGTTTAAGTTCTTAAATACATAGATATGCAACCTCAAACTTATTTCATCATTAAATTCAAATACATTAGTACATATTTGTGTACGAGTATAATATAAATTCTAGAATTTTTTTTTTTTTAAATAGTTCAATGTAAAAAAATCCATATTTTAATAACTATTTAAAAGTATGCATGTTTTGTTCTCCGCTTTTGAACCTAATATCTAGAAAAGAAAATTTTAATCAAGTCGTAGTTGTATGTACACGGGTTCACTGATTGTGATTATAGCTGATGTCTGGGAAAAAAATTTTCTAGATAGAACGTATAAGATTAATAGTCGTTATGTTTGTTTATAGAACACCTCACACATTGTATGATGATTCGCCGCAACGGTATCGTGCAGAAAATCCGTTCCGAACGTGCATTATCATACGAAAGAGTGGAGGGAGGGACCTAATATTTTGATATTCAAACAGTATCGTACCGATATGCGCTCCCCGACAAATCATCGTGTTATCGTCGGTCTTACGGACGAGCCATCCTTTCGGCGAAATCTTTAGCCTCCAGTGACAGTGTCTGCAATCATTTGCATTCAACAGCGTAGGATCAATAACCGTAACAGTTCGGTTTTCCATCGTCAAAAACCTGTTTCTATCGCGAACGGCCACAGCGACGTGTGGCGGCTGCGTCCCCGCGTACGGTAGGCGCTACAACACGTTCGTACGGTAAACACGGTGATGACGCGACGTGTTCAACGATCTCAGGTCGACAGCGGTTTTTAATTTTTTGCCATCGGCCGTCCAGTCGGAACACGGAGAGAAACACGGCGTTGCGAGTATGCAAACGCGTACCGCATCGCGTAGATGTCCCGAACACCGCGACGTGGTCGAAGGAGGGGGGGGACGGCGATGAGAGGAGCGAGACTTAGCGCGCGCGGTGCACACCCGGCCGGTGCGCGTCGCGCCGTAATGTACGAACGCGTTTTATGGGCCACGCGGCACTTGCACCGCACGTGCGCGCGCCGCCGTTACACCCGTGCCGGTACCGCGTTGCACACGCCGCCAGTGCAACGGCAGTTTTAATGCAACGGTTTTAATGTCGCGCGCACACGCCGCGTGCCGTCGTAAACGGTGTGCAGTAACGGTCGTGCACTCGCGCGCACGTGTGCGACGACTACGCGAATACGGACGTGCGCGCCGCTTGGGTCCGCCGCAAGTCGCGCGAACTGCATCGCCCCGTCGTCGCGTTCCGCGAAACGCACTCGAAAAACGGCGGACGGGAGGGGGACGGGCGGGCGATGGGAGCGATCGGAGGAGTGAAAACGAAATAAATCCGAAAAGAAATCACGAACGCCCGTTTGTCGGCTGGCGTGTGCGGGCGCCGTAAAAAGTTTTAAACGACACCATAAAGTCCCCGGAACGTGTGCGATAACGTTACGGTCGCCGACGCACCGGGTTAAGCGCTTCGCAGTGCGACACGCACGTAACGCATAAACGTTGCGCTCGCGGACTTTACGGTCGTCCCCGCGCACGCGGTCGCGCGTTGCGTTTCTCGGAATTTTCGGGTTATCGCGTCGCGCCCTTCGTCCCCCCCCCCCCCACACACACACACACACGTCACCTCTACAACTCGACTCGCGGCGCCCCGTGCTTCCCGGTAACGCACTTGGACGATTCGCGGACGGCTACGCCGTT